TTAGAATCTGCATTTTAACCAGACACCCACCCCCACTCTGCCACCCCACGACCCATGTGCAGTTCTAGGGGTGAGGGTCTGGAGGAGGCAGATGCTGGAGTGCAGGAGGCCAGGCCTGACTCCAGCATCTGACCATGGACAAGTGACGCAGCCTCCTCCAGTCTCTCTTCTTATTAGTACAACGAAGGTACTTCTTCTCTCGAGGAGTTTTGGGGGTCAAACACGATCATGTAAGTCAAGTACTCAGCACGGTGTCTGACACACAGTGTGCTCGGGAAAGATGGGCTTCCTTCCCTTTGCATTTGGGGAAAATGCGCTAGTAGGTTTTAAACAGCAATTTTTTCAGGAATGATCTGGCCCGTGTCTTTACTCATTGAGAAGTCAGTGACACAGTTCTGTATCTGAGGCTCTTGGAATGGAGCAGGATGGAAGTAGCCACTGTTACCGCATGCAAACAGAAACTGTAATTGAACAAAGATTACCTGGGATGAGCTGAAAGTGCAGGACCTAAACTAACGAAATGGGAAGTGTTTATCAGAGCAAAACGTGCCCTGTGTCTGAATGAAGTCTCAATACTGTGGAGCTACCCCTTATCCTACAACTAATCAATAATCAGCACAAACCCATCAATACTTTATGTGGGGTATTTGCTTGAGATTTGACAAGACGATCCTACAGCTGACCATCCCCATGCAGGTGCACTAGACCTGGGCACACAGGCATTCACTCTTCGGCATGTGTGTTACATTTTAATAAAAAGCCAAACCCTACACATGCACAGTAAGATCAAATCACAGGGAAGCAAGTACAGAAAATGTCCTGTGTATGATTAAAATGGAACAGACAGTCAATGGAAAATATGTGGTTAGAATAGCTGGTTAATATTTGGGGGGAAAAATAGATGTATCACCCTTTACCCTTCAGAAAGTCGTAGCTAAAGTTTTAAATGTCAGAACTCTGCAAAAATGTAGATGTGTAAGTTACAATCAATTCATGTAATGTACATGACCTTGGGGAAAGGAAGGCCTTTCTTGAATGATTATAAGGCTAGAAGCCAGCAAAAAAGAGGCTGACAGATATGACAGAGAAAAATTGTGTGGCAAACGGTATATAAACATTATTGAAAAGGAAGTGAAAAATAATAAACTGGGAAAAATATTTCCAACGTGAGAGAAAAACAGACTCAATGGCCTTAATACGTAAAGAACTCTTAAAAATAAGTAATGAAGACACATGCTCCAATAGAAAACTGGGCAAAGGGGGGAAGTTTTAAAAAGACACACATGGCCAGTGAGCACCTCCGAAAAGCAGTGTGGGGCATGCAAATGAACACTGCAACTAGTGAAGACCACACTGGCATCCATCAAAAGAGGAGCCCCGCCAGAAATCCAAAATGGAATCTGCCTACGCTTTTACCAATGTATCATCTACCAATTTATAGAAAACACAGGTCAGAGAAGCAGGTAAAACCTCAGGGAGATAGAATTAGCAAAATCAGCACGAACTCTACTATCCAGTTTCTGGAGGGGAAGAGAGGGAGGGAAGATCCTTGCATAGAGAGAGACTCAGGAACCCATCAGCTTGTCACAGTGTGTGGCCCTGAGGCGGATCCCAATTCAAGCAAGTTGCAAAACAAAACAAAACAAAAACGATCATTATGAAATTGACGAAGCATGTAGAAATTTGACCAAAAGGTAGGTATTTCATGAAACAAGGAATTACTGTAAATGTTGTGTTAGGAGTGACAATCGTATTGCGGTTTTTGGTTTTCAAAAGTCTCCTTGGGAGAGACACTGAAAAAACAGCACAGCTGCAGCCATATTCTGTCTGGTATTTGCATCTCACAGAGGGACCAAGTGGGAACAGGCAGGTCGGGCTGGCAGTGGCCGAGCATCACTGGAGCTGGATGGCGGCTGACGGGGCTCCATGTCCTGTTTGTTTAACCTGCTTACTTTTGTACATGCAAAATGCTCCATGTTAAAAAAAAAAAAGGCTCTGCCAGTGTTGGCGCAGAGGGATGGGACATGGGCTCTGGGTACCTTTCCAGAGGGCGGAAAACCAGAAGGTGCCCTCTGATCCAGCAGTGCAACTTCTAGAATGTTCTAACGAATCTAAGCACAGCTTTACAAAATATAAGGATGTTTAGACAGCAACTTTTATAATAGAAGCAGATAGATAGAACCTATGCACTCATTATGAAGGAACTGGGTAAATGTGACATTTCCATATAATGGTAATCTAATACATATTGACATGAAAAGACGTACATGGTGTTAACATTAGAAGTATATGCTACGCTGCACGCAGTGGCTCACACCTGTAATCCCAGCACTGTGAGAGGCCAAGGTGGGCAGATGGCTTTAGCCCAGAAGTTCAAGATCAGCCAGGGCAACATGGTGAAGCCCCACCTCTACAAAAAATACAAAACTTAGCCGAGTGTGGTGGTGCACACCTGTGGTCCCAGCTACTCAGGAGGCTGAGGAGGTACCCATCTGGGCCTGGGAGGTCAAGGCTGCAGTGAGCCATGACTGTACCACTACACTCCAGCCTGGGAAACAGCAAAATAAAATATAAATTTTAAAACTATAAGCTCATGAACATGTATTCATGTAGAAAAAATTTTGAAAAGACACACAGCAAAATGCTAACATGAGTTACTTTTGAGTAATGAGATTGTGGATGACTTATTTTCATTTTTATCTAAAATTTATAGTTTTTTCTTTTACTAAGTATGGATTTCAAGTATACTTTTTTATTGTTTTAAAAACAAATTTGGAAATAAACTATATTTTAAAAGAAAAAAACATTCCAAATGACGTTAATATATCTTTGTTAGCCACTTAACTATGCTTTCGAATGATCTGAAATGAATTTCTTAAGTTGCTGGCTTAGAAACCGTAATTATAAACTTACTCTGTGAAATTATTAAAGGTCTGTTTTGACATTTTTAGCCCTCATATCCTCCCAAAAGCAATAGCAGACTATAATTAAAGAACAAATTGAAAGTGTATCTAATGGAAATACACACACATCAATGCCCAGTCTGTTTCCTCCGGGTGTAAGAAAATGTCTTTTTTCTCCTCCTTTGACAAGAATACAAAGACGAAGCACTTTAAAGGGATAATCCCATTTCGCGCTCATCACGGGTACATCAAGACCCAGTGTAGGGAAATCTATGCAGGTTTTGCCCATTAGCTAATCTGTTTTAGTACCTGCGGTGCTGACAAATGAATTTGGCAGGGGAAACCGTTCTGCACGGGGCAAGCTCTTCCAGGTAATCCCAGCATGAGGCGGGTTGGGCTGGACAGCAGAGGCCGTCCTGTGGCCAGGGATGACTCTGGAGCCAGGGCGGTGGGGTTGAAGGCCAGCCAGGATGCCAGGGCAGCTGTGACAGCAAGTCAGGAGGTGAATGAGGGGCGGCTGCCAGAGGACAACCAGCCTGTAGACAGGATCTGTGTCCACAAAGGCCAGACTAGGCTGGGACTAGGTGAGGTGTGGACCACGGCGAGGAAGGTCTGGAATTTCTGAGCCTTCTATTTCATGGCCTGCACTAAAATCGTTGAAAACACGAAGAAACTGTTGCCATCCCCCATTTCAGGTACCCAGTGACAAGCTCCTCCATTCCCTTCACAGTTCAGGAACTCCAGCGCCTGGATACAGCTGCTGCTTCTCCACTGTGATGGTTAATATCGAGTGTCAACTTGATTGAAGGATGCCAAGTCCTGTTCCTGGTGTGTCTGTGAGGGTGTTGCCAGAGGAGATGAACATTTGAGTCAGTGGGCTGGGGGAGGCGGACCCACCCTCAGTCTGGGTGAATAACATCTAATCAGCTGCAGCTCAGCCAGAATAAAGCAGGCAGAAGAACATGGAAAGACTGGACTGGGCAACCTCCCACCACACAGATGGGAACCGGAGGCTCCAATCAACCCAAGGACTCATCAAGGACACGTGGAGATGGTCGGTGGTGATGAGATGGAAACTCGTGTCTGTCCGACTCTCAAATGGGGACATTTTCCGGGGGGCAGGAGGATGCCCAGGGACTGTTCTGTACCAAAAGCCAGCTTCGTATAAACAGCACGAGGGACACATACCATTTCTGCTACAAAACACCAACAGACACGGCATGGACACCTGTTCTTTCCATAAACGAGGGTGAGAAGGAAGAGTTTACACATAAAATGAACATGCTGTGAAACTAAGATTTTTTTCCCACAAAAATTAAGATGTGTATCTCATTTTGAAAAGAGAAGAACAAACTAAAGCTCTTCAGAGAAGCTTTTTTTTTTTTTTTTTGAGACAGTCTCACTCTTTCACCCAGGCTGGAGTGCAGTGGTGTGGTCTTGGCTCACTGCAACCTACACTTCCCAGGTTCAAGCGATTCTCCTGCCTCAGCCTCCTGGGTAGCTGGGACTACAGGTGCATGCTACCATACTGGGCTAATTTTTATATTTTAGTAGAGACAGGGTTTCACCATGATGGCCAGGCTGGTCTCGAACTCCTGACCTCATGATCCACCTTCCTCAGCCTCCCAAAGTGCTAGGATTACAGGCATGAGCCACCGCGCCCCGCCACAAACATCTTTTTTAAGGTCACAAATGCCAACACCTCCTCCCTCCCTCCCGGCTGTGGCTGTCTGGCACGGACAAAGCAGACATTTTCCAACCTAGTGACTGCTCTGGGATCTCACCCAGGTTAATAGAGACATGTCCTGTAATGCTGGATAATCTGTAACCCAGGTGGCTCTTACCGGCCTCCTTTCAACACCTCGTCTTCCTCTGCTCCATATTTCCATGCGGAACTCTCCCCATGACCCAATGCCACGGTTATTTATAGAGTGGGCTCTTCCCAAATCAGTGCCAAGGATGGTCCCTGGAGGGAACACCATCCCTGCAGATAACATGATGCGGACAGGAGCTCACAAACAGGACATCTCAGGAAACTTCAAACCCAGAGAAAAGAATGCCAGCCTCACTGTCAGACATTGAAAACCCAAGAGAAAATGAGTCATTTCCACTTTAATATAAAAGGCATCCTGTTGCTAGTAACTTCGGTTGGGGAGCAAACTGGTCATTAGCATTTAGTAAAATTCACTTCCAGATTAGAACATTTTAAATATAAAAATAAGTCTTTCAACGAAAGAGTATGTAAGCAGTGCTGGGTACATTGGCAAAGCAATGACAAATCACAACGGCAGGGCTGCGTCTGGGTGTGCCTCCACAGGCCATGAGTGCCCACGCTCACAGGAAGTTTGATACAAGACTCTTTGACATGTAAATAAGGCAGCTGATCCCCCTCTCAAGCAAGAACATTCGAGAGGAGGCTGCAGTCCGCAGTAGTGAGTTGGGTGCTCTTCTGAAGGGACGTGGATTTCTGGTTCTCCTGCAGAGGACGGTGGGTTCACCAGAATGAGAGGACACACAAGCCTCCCCCGCCTGCAGAGCGCACCAGCTGCCATCTGAACGGGCCAGTGTGCACACCCATCTGGAGGAGGTTCCCATTCGCTGCAACGTGGAGGGTTCGGAACCGAAGCTGGAGTCTTCTTTTTTCCAGCTTGCATCTCCTAATGATTCTTGGTATGGTTAAAATGTCCCTATAAAGACAAAACAGCACATGGCGGGAAGTAATTTACCTTGGCCACGTGAGCGCGCCTTGGCCATACACTTGCCAACACAAAGCACCACGTTTAAAATGGCTGCTGTGACGTCTGTAGATCCATTAACATATACTAGATCATAACTAAGGCATTTAAAGCATTTCCAGTAGTGCCTGCTACCTAGAACGTTTTTAATAAATGTTACTTCCCTTCTTTCCTATAGCACTATGAGGAATAACGAGAATAAAAATCATATTCACATAATTCATGAAACAATTTTTTTTAAATGTCTAAATATTGAATCAAGATTCAGCACAAAAGCAACACAAAAGTGGCTTCTCTTACCAGGGACATCTGGGAGTGACAGAGGCTCATGGCAATCACCGCCAGGCCCCTCCAACCCACCCATCTCCTGGAGCAGGCCTCTCATCCCCTTACCTTCACCTGCATAAGAAACTGGGAGAACCAGATGGCTGGGACAGACAGTTGGCCAGACACTGCACCACTGTGCAATGAGAGGCTCGTCGGCGTCTAGGAATCTCTGTCACACTTGGCCACATCTCCTGGCACACAGCAGCGTGGCTCCCTGGCCCACAGGCAGAGACAGGCACGGCCTCCCTGTCCTGCAAGGACTCCACCCTCGGGGTAATGGGCTCCTAGGCTGGCTGTAGCCCAGGAAGGGTGGGGTAGGCTGGGTGCTGGGGGAACAAAGCAGTCTGGTCCTCGATGACATCCCTGCTTCCTGGAAGACAGGGGCTTCCCTGAGTCATGGGGACCAGACAGGAGAGACTCCAGCCCTGCCTGGAGGTACCATCAGGCAGCAGAGTACTGAAGTGACACTGATGGCTCCTTCAGCAATCATAATGAAATGCTACAGGAGCCAGGGAAGATAGCACATGGCCCTGCCTCGTGAGGGGGCTGAAGGCTTCACACAAGGAGAAGTATCTCGGCTGGGCCACAGAGGAGCAAGAGAATCTCTGGAGGTGGGAGGGTGTCTCCCAAGCAGTAAGAACGAGGTTAGATTGTGCCAGGACCAGAGAGGCTGTCTGTGGCGACTGGAGCGGGGCTTGTGGCACACATGGCAGGGATGGGAGCAGCTGTCTGGGGGGTCAGGCAGCACTGAGGTGTGAGGAGCCCTGGATGCCATGGTGAATACAGGTGCGGCATTTATTCAACAGGCCCGCGCTTCCCAGAATATTCCGGGTATCACACGTGCAGCAGGTATCCCTTAACAAAAGGGCATATTGGAAACAAGTTTCTTCATGCAACTTTCAAGGTCCTTCATAGTCTAATGGACATCAAATCTCTGAAAGGTAGGGGAAAGTACGTAGCATTTCCTGAACTTCTTTGGACAGGAACCTGTCCTGTTGGGAGGCTGAGTGCAGGAACCCAGCTGGCGAATCGTGGCTCTGGGACGTGCACTGAAGGCGCGGTCAGCAGAAGCCTGGGAGGCTCACTTGGAGGTGTCGTAGGGTGCGTGGGGCCCAAAACACAGGGGGCTTCTCTTAGAGGACAGACGGGGGATTGCAGGGAAATGCTATTTAATTCACTTCATCATCACCAACCACATAGCTCGAAAAACACCGTTTTTTTTTAAAGGTGTCTCACTCCTGACGCATCCTTCCCTGCCCTGTTCGAGGAGAGGTATATCTGGAAGACATGTTTGAGACGAAATGGATAAAACTTAGGGACAAAGACAGAGCCACATCGATTTGAAGAATGAGACCCAGAATTTTTTTTTTTTTTTTTGGACAGGGTCTGGCTCTGTCACCCAGGCTGGATTTCAGTGTCACAATCATGGCTCACTGCAGCCTCAGCCTCCTGGGCTCAAGAGATCCTTTCACCTCAGCCTCCTGAGAAGCTGGGACTACAGGCGCCTGCCATCACATCTGGCTAATTTTTGTATTTTGCTCGTTTGTTTGTTTTTGTAGAGATAAAGTTTCATCATGTTGTCCAGGCTGGTCTAGAACTCCTGGCCTTGGGATCCACTGGCCTCAGCCTTCCAAAGCGTTGGGATTATAGGAGCAAGCCAGCACAGTTGGCCAAGACCCAGAATCTTAGACACAAAGGAGCCTTTAGAAATTGCTCGTTTATACCTTTTGCCCCTGGTGTGATCTCAAGACCCCACATTGCCCTCCTCTCTCTTCTCCACACAACCCAGTTTGTCTCTGTGTCTCTCAAAGCACGCGGCCCCTGATGACACCCAGAGAGAAGCCTGCTGCTGCCCCCAATCTAGACAAGGGCTGGGCCAGTGGGGCCTCAGGTCCTCAGACCCTGGGACTTGGATGGGCCAGTGGGACCTCAGGTCCTCAGACCCTGGGATTCAGATGGGCCGGTGGGGCCTCAGGTCCTCAGTCCGACCCTGGGACTCAGATGGGTCAGTGGGACCTCAGGTCCTCAGACCCTGGGACTCAGATGGGCCAGTGGGACCTCAGGTCCTCAGACCCTGGGACTCATTGCCCTCACCAACCACCAGAAGCAGGTCTAATGAGCAGCGTCCGGGTCACTGCATCCCAACTGTGGGTCTTACTGTGGACAACTAAAACGCTTGCCCCCTGTTCGGTCAGGCTTGAAAAGTGATTTGATAAGCAATAATGAGAAAACCCTTTTCCACCTTTGGTGAAACACAATTCCACGGAGCAAGAGCACGAAATCTGTGAAGAGGAAGTTTTTATTTGCTTCTAACCCTGGGATGAAAAGGGCCCGGGGTCAGCTGTTCCCGGCTGCCCTGCTGCCCAGCGCCTTCTCCTCCGCACCCTCGGGGCACAAGTATGCAGCCCAGACCTTCATTCACCTCTCATAGCAACGACTTCTTTGCAGGCCCTGCCACCACTCATGAACTCCCTCAAAACGTCCCCCTTTCCTTTTTGGAAGCCTTCCTCAGTGGGCTCTCCATGACCTGTCTGTGGGGCCGGCAAGGACAGCGGGGCCAACAGGGACACACCTCACTCCACCTGGGACCACCATGTTAAACACCCAGACTGATGCGTCACCTCCGGTACATCTAGCTGCAAGGCATCCCTGTAGCCTCGGGGAGGAGAGAACTGCGCCATGCATCCCCTTCCCTTTTGCTGACGCCATTTTCCCCTAACAGGCAGAGCCCTGGCTGTGGTAGCTCTCGGATTCTCCGTAGCACCTGTGTGACAGAATGACAACAGCCCTCTGTGGATTAAAGACGTGGATGGTTCCTGCCATTACCAACTGCCAGAGGAGTCATTTTTTCTTCCTTCAACAGCATATTCATCTTTACTGCCACAAAACATTGTCCCTTCTCAAGAGAATTCTTCAAAGCCCTAGAACCAAAGCTTGGACCTCTAAGACAATCACCCATCATACATCTTTGCACGATGAAACGTCTTTATACCACCTGCCACACCCCATGCTGATGGGCATCTGTCATCCTCTTGCCTCATCTTCCTCCCTTCCTTACGCCTCATCATCTTCCTCCCTTCCATGCACCCCATCATCTTCCTCCCTTCCTTACACCCCATCTTCCTCCCTTCCTTACACCCCATCTTCTCCCTTCCTTACACCCCATCATCTTCCTCCCTTCCTTATACCCCATCTTCTCCCTTCCTTATACCCCATCATCTTCCTCCCTTCCCTACACCCATCATCTTCCTCCCTTCCTTACACCCATCATCTTCCTCCCTTCCTTACACCCCATCGTCTTCCTCCCTTCCTTACACCCATCATCTTCCTCCCTTCCTTACACCCCATCATCTTCTCCCTTCCTTACACCCCATCATCTTCCTCCCTTCCTTATACCCCATCATCTTCCTCCCTTCCTTACACCCATCATCTTCCTCCCTTCCTTACACCCCATCATCTTCCTCCCTTCCTTACACCCATCATCTTCCTCCCTTCCTTACACCCCATCGTCTTCCTCCCTTCCTTACACCCCATCATCTTCCTCCCTTCCTTACACCCCATCGTCTTCCTCCCTTCCTTACACCCCATCATCTTCCTCCCTTCCTTACACCCCATCGTCTTCCTCCCTTCCTTACACCCCATCGTCTTCCTCCCTTCCTTACACCCCATCATCTTCCTCCCTTCCTTACACCCCATCATCTTCCTCCCTTCCTTACACCCCATCATCTTCCTCCCTTCCTTACACCCATCATCTTCCTCCCTTCCTTACACCCCATCGTCTTCCTCCCTTCCTTACACCCCATCATCTTCCTCCCTTCCTTACACCCATCATCTTCCTCCCTTCCTTACACCCATCATCTTCCTCCCTTCCTTACACCCATCATCTTCCTCCCTTCCTTACACCCATCATCTTCCTCCCTTCCTTACACCCCATCATCTTCCTCCCTTCCTTACACCCCATCATCTTCCTCCCTTCCTTACACCCCATCATCTTCCTCCCTTCCTTACATCCCATCATCTTCCTCCCTTCCTTACACCCATCATCTTCCTCCCTTCCTTACATCCCATCATCTTCCTCCCTTCCTTACACCCCATCATCTTCCTCCCTTCCTTACATCCCATCATCTTCCTCCCTTCCTTACACCCATCATCTTCCTCCCTTCCTTACATCCCATCATCTTCCTCCCTTCCTTACACCCCATCATCTTCCTCCCTTCCTTACACCCATCATCTTCCTCCCTTCCTTACACCCCATCGTCTTCCTCCCTTCCTTACACCCCATCATCTTCCTCCCTTCCTTACACCCCATCGTCTTCCTCCCTTCCTTACACCCCATCATCTTCCTCCCTTCCTTACACCCCATGCCGATGGGCATCTGTCATGCTCTTGCCTCATCCTCTCTTCCTTCTTGGAGGTGTCAACACTCGAAAGTGGGCATGCACCCTTCTGTACCACTCACAACCCCAACAGGAAATAGATACATGGACTAACAGGAGACCTCACAAGGGGTTACTACAAAAGGGTTCTCACAGAGTTGTCCTGGGAGCCACGAGGGACAGTGCAGGAGCCAGACCCAAGGCATAAAGGACAGCAGCAGCTACCAGAACCCAGAAGGAGGATGTGCC